CTGTAAACAATGGAACGCTGCCATGACAGGAAGTGATGGCTGAACCCTAGATGTTGTCAGACTTACGTTTCTCCATTCATTCCACAGTAAACAGAGGACGTATAGAGAATCAAAGGAACATGAGCAGCAATTAATCTCTTTTTAAACAAAACCTATATCATGTATTCATTATTTTCTTCATAAGCATCTTTCTTATCACTATCATAAGGCAAACTGTAGTATACCATTGTACCTGAAGAATCAATATTTAAAAAATCTGAAGCCAAACTTGAGACCCTTTCATGTTGGGCCCATTAGCGAACAAAGTGCATTAAAGTGTCATTTTCAAAGGACACCCAAAGCAAGGTTTAAAATGACTGAGCCAACCCTTTCCTTACACCTGTATTCCATTTATCCTTATTCTAGGAAGGCAGATATTCATCTTTTGCATATTATCAACAAAACCCTTTTCATTGTCTCTCAAGGAACATCTTTAAAAGGCATCTACCATCTTCCACATTTCAAATATTTCTCAGGAATCTCTAAAATAATCATTTATACAGAAATATGGTAATAATCACAAAGGACCCTATTCATTTAAAAATTAATGGGCAAAATTCATCTTTTGGGTATAGTTTGTACAGCTTCTACTCATCTCAGTGGAGCTGCAGCCACTAACCCCAGGGCTAACTCAGATCCCCTATGTGCAGGTGAAACTCAGACTAATATTACTGCTGCAAATTCGTCATTTACTCCTCATTGACGAAGAGCACTTTATCCCATTAAACAACTCAATTCAACAATACATATTTTTTGTTTCATTGGCTGCTTGTATAATGAACTTCAGTACAGTACTTCTCAATGCAACGTTCATATACCAGGTATCTTTGCTCTTCTTTACTAATACACTACAGTGTGATACAGTGAAACTCTTGCATTTCCTTTAAAAATGTGTTGTAAGTTGTCCACCTCTCACTCCAGATGTACAGGCTTTGGATTGTTGTGGTGTACCTCTAAATTCAGTGGTATGTCCCCACAACTCAACTGTCAGAAGTAAGCCACCTCCAATCACAATGGAACCTTAAGTGATGCATCATCTCATCAAAACAGGAGATAGTCAGACTTTGAATTGGTTGTGCTGCTCCAATGTTGCTAATTTTCTGAGATGATATCAATCTTACATATCCTCAGTGATCCGACTGAGACAAAAGTGAAGCACTGATAGATGGGAATCACTAGGTGATTTATCCATTGACATTTCCAGAAGGTATTCCATGTTTCTTTGTGAATAAGTTTAACATGCAGACCTATTCATGAACAGAAGTAAATAAACCCTTCTTCTTTTTGTTGTACTGGAAAACTCCATTTCCTTCCCTGTTTATTTTATTTCACTTTTTTGGTATGCACATTCTGGTGCACAAAACTGAAGTTGAGAGATGCTGCACACAGTAAGATCAGAGTTCAATGTAACATCAACAGTATATCAATGTGTCCGTTGCACAGTTTCCAGGAAACAAAACTCCTTCTAGTTATCCCCTTGTAAAAACAAAAGTGTAGAAAAGGTTTGTGAATGGGGCCCTTATCGTGCAAAAACAATGAACTTTAATCCAGATAGCCAAATTGAGGAGTTCTTTATATAAATAATTTATAAATCTTCCTGTAAGAGACTAAATACAAAATAGTTCCGAGAAATTATTAAAGCCACATCTTGCCCTTTAATACAAAATACACAGCAAAGAGAGATACCCACATTCAGTTCTGGCTGGAGCCATCTGGGATGTTTTGTATGCCACATTGTCAAATAGCTCCACTGAAGGTCCTGTGGGCAGAATTTTTGCAGTCCATCAGAAAGCTGGCATTATATCCCTTTGCTTTTAGCAGTCACGGAAGCTGCTCAATGGAGTCTAAGTGATCTGGGATAGGCAGGCCCGTTATAATTGTCAAACATTTATTCCACACTGTGAACGTGGGGCACACAGGCTGTGCAAATGTTATGTCAAAGGTGTAAAGGTGTAGAGAGTTCAAAGCATCATAAAAGGCAAGAGAACCATTGTCGTAGTCCAGCAAAATCCCAACACGACGGAGGTGAGGAGCAGGCTCTATAGGAATTTCTTTGCTATTATGTCTCACCACCCAGGCATTATTACAACGGCAAAGCACCCAAGAGGCAGAATTCTTTCCAATCCACTCATGTTTTGGTGCTGTCTTGTAAGAAATACCAATTGCATACCTGCAAAACAAAAACAGTCTAGAAAACAAATGTTTTGTGTCATGCTGTTTTCTATCAATAAAGGGTAAACTTTATCCTGAAAGACTCTAAGGGATGCACTCTCTTTTGTTTATGCATTTACATTCTCATTAAGTAAAGGATAATTAAAATGTCATGCTTAATTAATGTTCCTCCTGGCTCCCAATGTTGTGACTGGAAGGTCATGCAAATCTTGTTGTCCACATTGCTGTTTACAGTTTGCTATGGCAATACTTAGAACTCTTAGCTAAAGATAAAAGACCATTTTTATTCACAAGGAAAAATGGTATGTGCCAAACAACACAGAATTCTAATCCTTGCTCATTTAATACATGATGCTGCAGAAAGGTGAAAGCATCCGAGTATACATGGAATGCCCATTTATGACTTGATAGAACCTCTTCTGCCAGGTCTTTGTCAACTTTATTGTACTGAGCACTGGGCCATGTGAGGCAACTGTAGGGGTATGTCTAGACTGCATCCCTCCGTTGGCAGAGGGATGCAGATTAGGCAGGTCGACATTGCAAATGAGGCAGGGATTTAAATATCCCGCACCTAATTTACATAAAAATGGCCGCTGCATTTTGCTGACTTAGCACTTTGTCGGCAAAAAGCGGCGGTCTAGAGGGGGATCTGTCGAGAAAGAAAGCCTTTTTTGACAGATCCTGTAAACCTCCTTGCAGGAGGCATAAACCTCCTGTAAACCTCCTTTCCTGTAAACCTCCTTGCAGGAGGCATAAGGGATCTGTTGAAAAAGGCTTCCTTTCTCAACAGATCCCCCTCTAGACTGCCTCTTTTTGCCGACAAAGTGCTGAGTCGGCAAAAACGGTGGCCATTTTTATGCAAATTAAGCATGGGATATTTAAATCCCTGCCTCATTTGCAATGTCAACCTGCCTAATTTGCATCCCTCCGCCGACAGAGGGATGCAGTCTAGACATACCCTAGGAGACAACTTTCCTTTGCCAAACAAATGTTAGGGTTGGTGGGATGCTCTGGCGAAATGGCACCCTTAATGAAGATCTGTTTTCGCCTGCAGGGAAGAAGCTTGTATGGTGCATATTCCTCAGGTGGAAGCAGGGTCTAACCTGTGATGTGATGTGAAGTCATTAGCAAATATGCATTGTTCTTTTTAAGGAGCATGGGCACTCCAGGCCTCACAAATTTCCCATTCCTTTTATTGCTAGCACTATCACAACACTTGAATCCCATATCATGGTGTCTCTCTTCCTGACCAAACACGTTGGGCACAGCTACCCACAGCACCTACAACGGCTGTTCCACATGACAGCCAAAGGGACTCATTTAGAATGAAGGGATGCTCCTTTTTATCCCCTATACTCTACAGCCCACTGTGGAACACATACTCGCAGCATTCCCATTCTCTGCAGGCCTGGGAATATTGGAACCAAATCTGACTCCCCTATGTAGCAGTTGTCAATAGACCATCAAGCTGCTTTTGTGTTCCATTCATATTGAAGAATGTTGTTTCAGAAGCACTAACATGTACTAACATGGAAACAAATGCAACTTTTTCTGGTGCTACAGTAATTAAAAATCTGACACATACCATGTACTCCCACTTATAACCACTTCCCAGTAATGCCGTCCACTGTCAATAAACACATTTCCAGCTACTCCATAGCTCCCTTGGCTGGTGAAGCGCTCAGGTGTGTGGCTCTTTTTGGAAGAAGTTTCATCACGCTCCACCGTCAGGTTATCATGTGACACCTTCAACTTTCTGTGGGCAGATTTGGGGTCCAGTTTAAATGGCTGGCCTGGGCACATACACAAGGATGACAAAAGAAAGGTTTGCTTAATTTTAACAAGCACAAGTAAAGTCAAATGTTTGGATAATAAAATCTCTTGTGTTAAACAGCTGAGGCTGTATAATAATAATAAATAATAATATTTAATAATACTTATTTTCTTCTATGGACCAAACTTAAATATACTGAGCCAAACTGCCTCCTAATATACTAAAAAAGAACGATCTTTGTAGATTAGTATTCAGATAGATTGCCGTACTAGTTACTGCTAAGAAAACCCCAGTGTTAATGTCACACTCATTCTCTGCAACCAAGAGCTAACTTGTTCATGAATTGTTCATGTAATTGAAACCAAAAATATGCCATCTCTAGTGATGGCTTTTTTGTTATACATTAGATTTTAGAGTACCTCACATTCCTATTAGTTTGCCAACCATAAAAAAAAAATGCAATAATGGCTTTATCACTATTGCAAAAATGCACTACTTCATAATCCCATAGTATACAAATCAAAAGAAGTGCTACTCTGCTTTGTTCTTTCATTCTCTAAAGTTTTATTTGTACTGGGATGCCAACAATGCTGGATCCTCTGAATTAAAATGCAGGAAATGAACTATAACTTGGTCCAAACATTCTGGTACAAAAGCATTACTGCTGTAGCTGTTGGTGGGAATTTTCTGCTGTAACACAGGGTCTGTAGACAATAACAGGAAGCACTTTGGTAAAACGAGCTCCGTAGATACATAATGGCTGCTATGACTGACAAGCTTACCCATGTTAAAAAGCAGAAAGATCTTTTTAATTCTGCCAGAGAATTTCTGAATGACAACTGGAAAAAAATGACACCAGTAGCCCACAAGGTCCTTTTTGTGTGTGTCCTTTATCCTTTTCCCTATAAGGGCAAATCTTCTTAAAAGTTCAAGATCTTTGATTACATGAGTGGAATGTGGAAATAAGCATTCCAGGGTTCTCTGTGACCGTACAGACTTGATTCATGTAAACTTTAAGATGACGATTCCTTTGTATTTGTGAAAGAGCAGCTAAGTAATTTGTATGCAGTGGAATCAAAGTAATTAAAGTTGGCATAAAAATGTCGAATGAGATTGGTCTGAAAAGTGATAACATGCCTTATTACAGATCTCTCGGAAAGCATTTCAAGGAAAAGGTTCTTCCAACACGGTCTCAAACATTATTTTTTGATAATAAAGATGAAGGAATGGCTTTAGATGTAGAAGTATATATTCTTTCATAATATACATATAATTATGCACATATCAAGAGTAAAATTTACCCTTCAGAACATAGGCTTTGACACATTTTTCCCCCACAGATGCTAACAGTATCTGCTTGCTTCTACCACTGGGTAGCAGCAAAATACCTCCTATATGTCTCTCTACCTGTTTTCTACTCTGTACTGGTGAAGTATCATCTGAAGCATGTCTTTCTCTGTACTGGTTTGCCGCAGGTCTGATTGTGTCACAGGTACTGACAGTAAACATCACTTGTTTGTCACACTGTATATCTCAAAGTGAAAAGGGAAGTAAGTTTGCCCTTTCCCATATAAGTCGTTCAGAAGAAGGAAAATACCTGTTTTACTTAAAACTGTGTTTACCACTACACACATTGTTTTTACTCTATAAATTGATAACTTAGGGTCAGAAGTGCTGGCCAGGTAGATAGGGGAGGAAGAAGAAATGCACCACCTGCCCATAATAACCTCTCCACCTTTTCATTATACACCAAGCAACAGTTCCTCCAGACCCAACATTCCCTACCCAATTCCCCAAACTGTCTGTAGCCTAAAAGGACTGAAGGATTGGCTAAGGCATGACAATGAACCACAGATAAAAAAACCCCAAAAACTTAGAACCACTGCCTTGAAGTGCTAGGCTATATCCACTCAATTTGGTTCAATCATTTTCTTAAAAGTGGGATCTCTGACTATATCATCTCCACATAGTTTTTAGAATAAATTCTGGGAGACTCCCATCATCATAAAACAGGGATTATTCAAGAGGACCAATTCAAACAATGTAATTACATTTATAAAAGAAATAAAATTCCTATAACAATAGATGGAAAAGGGCAAGACAATATGAGAATAAAACAACAACAACCAAAAGAAACATTTTCAATCATTTTTTCCAACAGTTGTTTCTGATAGAGATGTTTTCAATGATGTAGACACATCACTGGACCTCCAGAATTACAGAGATCCCTCTGTGTCAAGCACTTTGAACAAGGCAGCATGCTTTATCCTGCTGCACCTTTCAAGCACGAAACCTATGAAGGAAGGAGGAGAGATACTGTGGGAGTGCCTGTGTGTTTGCTGGATTCCTTGTTACTCATTTACACAAGTTCTCTCTCTTTTGTTGTCTCTCTTTCTCTCCCTATATATATCTATAACTCCATGCCTCTGTAAACTCCACTCCCATTCATCTGATGAAGTGGGTTTTGCCCACAAAAGTTTATGCCCTAATACACCTATTAATCCCTAAGGTGCCACAGGACTCCTTGTTGATTTTACTCACTGTTTGTCTTCAGCTTGCCAGGCTCACTGTTCCGGCTGCCTGCCTGATTAATGGCCTTGACAACGAAGATGTACTTAGTGCCACTCTGTAACCCATGCACGGTGTAGTGATTTTGTTTGATATTTGGAACAATCATCCAACTGTCGGCTGAGTTACATAAACCTATAATTTCAAACCAAACACATTAGTCAGAACATGCTAAATACTTTGTAACTATGGGAGACACAACTTTGAAGACTCATGAATATTTACATTAACCTGAAAATGTATTAAACAATCCGAGAGAAACTTGCCTCTTTACTTCCATAAGTGCTGTAATATTTACCAATTGGTTCACTAATTTCCACTGATTTATTCCACTTGCCCCCAACCAGCGTACCTTTAAAAATCTTAATACATTAAATCAACCATGAAAAATGGACCTTTAAAAAACTGTGGGGGGACAATCTGGAACTTTCAACTGTCCCTAAGCAAAGAATGGTTTATTGCTTAAATTTAAGACTATAGGGTGTGGAAATGCCATCAGTCTGTTTTTTGACTTAATTAATTTTAGTTGCATGCTGTAGGATTTAAAGCTAATGTGACTCATCACCATGAGGTTTCTTGAGGCATTTTTGCTGACAGTCTCTTAAAGTTCACTTTTGAGGACCTGAAGCAAGTTGTTGGCGGTGAGATCTCAAGTGCAGATCTTACTTCTCCTGGTGGTTTATCAGAGCCTAAATCTGTTAGATTTCAGGGCATTGTGCAAGTGTCATCTTTCCAGTCTAGCTTTTGCCAGATGGATATAATCGATGGTATTACAATTTATTTTACTACTTTTCTGATTTTTTCCCCTGTGGTTAGCTGGGAAAGGGGACCTGAAGCAAGTTGTTGGCGGTGAGTAATTAGTATTACTTTCCATTGCATATTGTTATAAACTTTTATTGTGTGTGAGATGCATCCAGATGAGGGTATAACATAAAAAGAAGCTAGGAAGGAAAGAAAAATGCTGGCTAAACCAAAAGGAGAAAACATCCCACAGTGAGATAGATTGAACTGTGTGGAAATGTTTCCTACAAGATGGTGGAAGGCTCACTGAGCCAAATCATTTACAAGTACTATGTTTAAAACAGCAGTCGGTCTAATTAGCCTTTAGGTGCTATTGTATTATAAACATTTATAGAAATAACAATGCTGATAAAGTGTATAGATTTACAGATATGTAGGAAACTTTTCCAAACTCAGGCTGTCTTGTTTTTTCGTTTGAAAGCCCATTAAGGATAGAGTTTAAGATTCGTCCTTTAATTTCTTAACTGTCTTACTTTCTATCAATGTTCTTTCATTAGTTCATTCTTTCCATCTAGGTACAGTATTTATCTAGACTTCATCACCATAATATCACTATGCCTCACAATTATTAGGGAATGTTATCCTCACAACAATGTAAGGAGGTATTACTTTTATTTTTCAAATGGGGAATGGAGGCACAGAGAGACGAAGGCCTACTTTTTATAGGTATTTAAGTGTGTGGCACTCAGCATTGCAAAGGCTAACTGATTTAGGAGCCTAATTCACAATAAGGGATTAAGGCAGGATTTCAGATGCTACATTCCTAACTCCATTTTGAGAACGTTAGGCTCCTAAATAGTTAGGTATTGCAAAAACGTTTGCCATAACACTTAAATACATATAAATAATCTGGGCCTAAGCATATGTCTACATTGCAATAAAACCCCCACAGCACCAAGTCTCAGGGCCCAGGGCAGCTGATTCAGGCTTGCAGGGCTAAAAACTGCAGTATAGACAGCTACGCTGCAGTTTTATAGCCCCAGAGCTTCAGCTACGCGAGCTTCATCTGTGGCCAACGCATGGATCTTTTATTGCAGTGTAGGCATACACCAAGTTACTTACCCAATGTAAAACACCGGAATGAAGTCAGAAATTCAACTCAGATCTCCTAACTCCCAAAGCTAGTTCTACAGCTTTTAGACCATTCTTCTGAGTAAGTAACAGTAGCACTAAATTTACATTTTTGTATTTTATCTTGTACAAAGTAGAATGTCTAAGGGGTTCCAACTTACTTTGGCGTCTGCTGACACATCAAGGAGATGGGTATTTTGATACTAACTACTGTCAAGATAACCAACAACTTTATTGACTAGACTTGAAACATTTTTGTTTGTTGTTTTACAACAAAAATAAATTCTGGTCTCTTTGTTGTTCATAAGCCAGTCAGCTCTGTGATCCTACTTATTTCTCCAAAACATCAGCTACAAGAGCTTTAAACTATAAGAAACAGTTTGCAGCACTCTCTTAAAAAAAAAGATGTTGAAAAATTAGATCAGACAAATCCATCATCCACCCGTCCCCTGAGAAACGAACCTAGTGCTTTCCTTGCAGAGGCTCCCGTACTGTCTAGCACCTATAGTAATGCCTACAGCATTATCTGTCCATTTCCTGTTCTATGCCTGAAGCAGATCTACTGAATTTTATTTTTATTCTACTAGGGGGTTGTGGCCCCTGCTTCCTACACTCACCAACCCCTCCGCCCCTCTCTGGGGGTAGGCAACCCTGGCTTTCCCCCCCGATCACCGGGGGGGCCACGCCACAGCCACGCCAGCCCTGGCTCTTTCTCCCCTCCCCCGGGTGTGGCCATACCAGTCCCAGCTCTTCTTCTCCTGTTCCCCTGCCCCTAGCTGTGCCAGCCCCAACTCTCTTTCTCCTCCTGCCCCCAGCCGTGACCTCGCCAGCCCTCAGCTCTTTTTCTCTCCCACCCCGTGGCAGCACCAGCTCTTTTGATTCTCATTAGAAAGGATAATGAGACACTGTGGATGGATTCTGAAGAATTTCAGTGCTTGATAATGGTTCTTTCTTCCAGTTTTTGAGATGCCAATGACATACTCAACTGATGTTCCGCAGAAGTAATCATCATCTAAAAGAGGTCCAATTCCTGCTCCTATTAATATCTAAGGAAGTCTGCTGCCAGCTTCAACAACTGAAGGATAAAGATCATTCCTATGTTGGTATGTCTAGAATTTACCAAGTGTCCACACTAACAACTGTACTCACAAGCAATGTTGCAAACTCATGGCTTGATTCAGGAAAGTTTTTCTATTAAGCCCTTACAACCAACTGAAGTTAATAGGACTCAAGGATGGATTTCAGCTTGCAATTACTTGTGTCCTGAATTGGGGCCTCAGTCAGCACCAGCACATAAGAACAAACCTGCTCATCACACAGTTAGAAAGAATTAAATCTGTTCAACTACTAGTTTCAGAGCATTCTGGAATATGGGACTCCACATCCGGCACTGGAAAAATACAGGGTTTGGCATTCAATTGCTGTTACACTGTCCTGGGCAGAGCTGATTCAGGGAGGGATCCAAGGTGGTGCTGAACACCCCCTTCATGGTGCTGTACACTGTCTATTGCTACGAAGTGACTGGGGGTAGAAGGCACTGAGCTCTCACTGAGACTCACAGAATAAGGCCATTCACTTCTTTTTCAACCTCTTCTGGGGTTTGATCCTACAAAGGTGTTGCACATCTCCTGGAAAATGCTGATCACCTTGTGCTCCCACTGACTCTTCACAGCCAGAGTCATCCCTTAGTGCTTGTTATGCCCCATCCTTCCGAGCTCATGTGAAGTCGACAACAGTAGTAAGAGGCATGCTCCTTGGTACCATTTAAGTTTTCTTGATACAGTAATGGTCATTTATTAAATCACCTGGAAATCTGAGATCTGAATCGATCCCTAGAACTCTCCAATTAAAGTACATTTTTCTAGCTTGCTTTGGAAACTTTCAACAATATTGAAAACCTGATGAAATCCATCAGAGGATAGTGAAGTTAAAATTATCTCAATAAAAAGCCAATCTAAAACCTGCATTCAAATAGGCATCTGCAGAACTGTAGAAAATGCAGATATATTTGTTATGGGATTTCACCTTCTAGATTTACATATATTATATATTATCTATAAAATTAACTATATGGACAGATTAGGTCATAATTATTTATCTGAACATTAATTTAGACTCTAGGATCTTGGCATAACTACACCACTGTAAGATATCAGGATATCTTGCTCCTAGAGCCTTGGTGTCTAACATGCTAGCCACTAGTCACATGTGGCTATTTGGCTAGTTCAGTGTGGCTAGTTAGCTTCAGAACTGGTTAGACACCACGGTATTAGAGGTTCATTGAGAAAATTTCTGCAGCCCGTGTCTATTGATACAGAACAGAATGTTTCCAAATAGAATGTTTTGGGGTCAAAGCTTTGTTTGATCATGTGGAAGGTGTCCAAGGATAATCAATGCTCCCTTCAGGAAGATATTTAAACACACACAGTGAAGTCTATCCATATAAACTCATGTTTAAATTTAATTTGAAAAGGGATGCCTTAATGATTATCTTTGGAGGGCAGTCACATGACCAAATAACACTTTGGCCCCAAAAGCTTAAAGAGTAAAGTTATGAGGATGTCCTCGACTGCACTTATAAAATAACCTAAAACAGATGCAACTCGCAAGGGCCATATACAACTACAAGCTGGACCTCCCTGGTCTGGCAGCCTTGGGACTTGACTAGTCTGAAGGAGGGAGTTTCCCAGATTAAGGGAGTGTAGCCCCTTCTGCTGCCAGACTCCAGGCTCTACTAGGATCTGTCAGCAAATCGCCAGACTCCCCTGCCTCTGGGCTACTGGGCTCCCACCTCCTCGGCCAGCCTCAGGGCTGCTGGGGGCCCCACTGCCCCAAAGCTGCCAGACTCTGCTGTCTTGGGGCCGCCAAAGCTCCAGGGCTCTGCTCTTTTACTGCTCCAGGGCTCCTCTGATCCACTATCCAGGGGCTGCCAAAGCTCAGCTGCCCTGGTTCCAGTGGAGCTCCACAGCTGCAAGGTTGCTCTGGGGTGTCAGGACTGCCCTGCCCTGAGTGGGTGCTCTCTGGTCCAGGAGCTCTCTGGTCCAGCAACATCCATGGTCCTACCAGACCATGGATGTTGCCCAGACCAGTGTCCTGGACCAGAGAGGTTCAACCTATATTACTGATGGCAGAATATTTTATAGCCATTTTAAAGGAACGTTTAATACCCCCCCCCCAAATTCTAGGGCCAGACATAATGGAGCAATCACTTCTTTTATGACATCAAGTGAGTTAGGAACAGAGGAGAATGGCGTGAACATGGA